GGGAGGGAGGGAGGGAGAAGGGAGGCAGCAAGAGACCTCGCCGCACCAGTGGACGAAGGCACGTGCCCAACATCGGTTTTACGGAGCGATGCAAAGCGCTCCTCCGCCTCTTCCTCTTCCTCGTATTCCTCCTCCTCCTCCTCCTCCCCCCCTCCTCCTCTCGTCATCCTCCTCCCTGGCTTCCTCCCCATCCTTTCGCCCTGTACTCCCCCTCCCTATCCCTCCCTCCTCCTCCTACGCCCTCTGCTCTCCTCCTTCTGCTCCTGCTGCTGCTGTTCCTCCTAGCACCATATTTCGTTCGGGATCATCCTGTACAACTGAAACGACGCAGTGAAGTCTAGCATGGCCCCATGAGTGAGGATGACACGCGCGAGTCGAGACGTGTATTCGATTTCGTTTTACTCTGGTTCCCGTTCTCCAGCTCCAGGCATCGAGCATCCCAACGCGGAAGCCGTCCTTCCAGGAGCCTTCGCGCTAGTTTCCCCCCGCTCATCATTTCCTGTTTCCTCTTTCCATCATCGCCTTTCTGTCCCCTCCTCCGAATGGGTGCCCGTGAGTGCCGAAGGTGTACTCTCTTTGGGGTGCCCAGGCTTTGCCGCGATGGCGGCCGAGCCTCCAGTCCGCAGCTTCTCGTCACTGCTCGAGCGGACGACTCCGCTGCGGCGCGCTCTCTTTTATGGAGTTCTCTTCCTCCTCCTCCTCGTCCTCCTCCTCTTCCTCCTCTTCCTCCGCCTCCTCGTCCTCCTCCTGTTCCTCCTCCTCCTCCTCTTCCTCATGTTCCTCCTCCCCCTCCTCCTCCTCCCCCTCCTCCTCCTCCTCCTCCTCCTCCTCCTCCTCCTCCTCCTCCTCCTCCTCATATGCCTTTTCTCTTCTACCCCTCGGGGCGGAGGTCGAAGATCGAGGCTTCTGGATGTCGTTGGCCCCCTCTCTGGGAACCTCCGGGAGCCTCCTGAGGAGGAGCAGAGGGGGCCTCTGGGCTTTGGCTCTTTCTCTCCGCTCTCGTGTTGTGCCTCGCAAATGCACGTGATGGGCCTGCTTTCCACCACCACCAACACCACCATACGTTGGAGGGGGAAGGAGGTGGAGGAGGAGGAGGAGGAAGAGGAGGAGGAGGAGAAGGAGGATGAAGAGGGGGAGGAGGAGGAGGAGGAGGAGGAGGAGGAGGAGGAGGAGGAGGAGGAGGAGGAGGAGGAGGAGGAGGACCCCTCCCCCTCCTACCTCTTATGGTGGTGGCGGTGGAAGACATGCCCACCAGCACTTGTTTGCCTGGCGCACTTGTCGCTCTCCGTCTTCCCCTTCCTCTTTGCTCTACGAGCGTACCCCCAGAACGACGAAGCACACCGATCATCTCAATAGGCGCGGCTGCGTTCCGAATAAATCAAAGGCCACGCGCTGGCCCGAGAGCGAGCTACTGCTTCAGCCTGTCGTGTTTGAGCGCTCTCTGAAAAGACTTGGCGATCTGGCTGACAAGACCATTCTGCGAAAGACGCATCGAGACGCGGAGCATGCCGACAAGTGATCGCCGACGAATGGGGTGATGGCCCAGCTCGATCGGATCCCTCAGAGCTCTGCCGTGAAAGCGCAGGTTTGCTGTGGCACCGTGCCGCTCGAGATGCCCAGAGAAAGGGTCAGGGCAAGGAGGAGAGAGCAGGATGAGTAATGCCGCAGGAGATTTGAAACAGGAGGCCTAGAAAATAGATGTCACGTCTCAGACTCAGATGACTTGTCAGGGGCGCATGGTCAAGAACTCAGTTCTGCATCATGTCGCTAATCATTGAGAGCATCGTTTCTGTGGCGATGGCGCGCGTGGCCCCTCGGCGAAGTCGGCACCTGACGCACTGAAAGTGTCTAATGGCCTTCGGCCTATCCCGCCACCGCGCCTGTGTTGTAGGTATAAAAACCTATTGGATGTTCGTTGGGATCTCGTGTGGGGCCTCTCGGGAACCTCTTGGAGGCAGTTTTGAAGCCTCTTGGGGACCGTTTGGGGGCCCCCTTGGGGTCTCTTGTGGGCCTCTTGGGGGCCTCTTGGGGCCTCTTGGAGGCGCCTTGGGGTGCTCCTGGGGCCTCTTGCGCGCCTCTTGGGGCCTTCTAGGGCCACCTTGGGGCGGAAGGTACGGAATGTCGGTTCGTGCTCCTTGTCTTGGGTCCCTTTGGGGGGCCGTCTTGGGCCCAGCTAGGTCGTCTTGGGCGCCTCTTGGGCCGTCGTGGGGCGCACTTGGGCCGTCTAGGGGCTCTCTTGGAGGCCTCTTGAGCTGTTTTGGAGTGGTTTGGGGGGCCTCTTGGACTGCCTTGGAGTGTCGGAATTCCGAAGAGGCGAGAGTGCCAACCTCCTTCAAAAACCATAGGACAATCAATGATGTGTCCCTCTTGCGGCCCTCTTGGGATGCCTCTTGGAGGCCTCTTCTGGCGTCTTGGAGGCCTCTTGGGTCGTCTTGAGGCCATCTTGGGCGTCTTGGGGCGATCGTTCGGCGACTCGGGGTCCTCTTGGACTCTTGGAAGGGTTCGGGTGGGCGCTTTGGGGGGGGCACAGCGTCCACAGGAGGCGCAGGAAATGCCTCAGAGCTCACGGGGTCTAGCCCGGAAAATCCTGGGATACGACGGGTCCAGGCCCTTAAAGACTTACTACTCTCGCAGCAGCCTCAGCACAGCGCCTACCTCTCTGTGATGCATGAGCCTTGGGGTACTCCACTTCGTGCCAGAGGCACGGTGGCGGATCTTCATGCGGACTGATGTTTTGTTTTCGGGCTCGAAGATCATCTTGTTCGATGAATCCTACTGGTGGGATTATGATCGAAGGGTTTGGCGTGATTGAAGCCTGTCTGAATTCTTCGCCGTGGCATTGAAAACTTCCCCTGCGAAGATCACTTGATTCGATCAAAAGCCCCACGGGCCAACTTAAGATTGACACGAGTGGCGTGATTGAAGACAGTCCGAATTGTCTGCCGTGGCATTGACAATTTCTCCTGCGTGTCTCTGCTGCTGCCGCTGCTTGTGGGATGGGCCGCATGTCGTTGGTTGGATGTTTGCTTCGGGCGGAGGACCTTCCCGGCGCCCACCTCGCGGAAATCTCTGCGACGATTCTCTGGCCCGATTCTATAGGTCGAGGCAGCTTCGGCTCCGGGTCGACGGGCGCTCGACGCGGCATCGATGTGCAGCAGCGACGCACGAGTGGCCTCAGCCTCCTCCCCCTCCTCCTCCTACTCCTCCTCCTCCTCCTCCGCCTCCTCCTCCTCCTCCTCCGCCTCCTCCTCCTCCTCCTCCTCTTTCCTCCTCCCCCTCCTCCTCGGGGAGGTCCCCAGAGCGAGCCCCGAGAGTGGGCCCCGAGTCTCTCACGACGCGGGGAGGGGAGATGCGGAGGGCAGGAGGGCAGCGCTGCGCGGCGAGAGCCCGCCGCGCCCCCCCCCGCCGCGCAGGGGCGCTCCGATGCGGCGCGCGCGCAGCACAGCCCACCGCGCAGCCCGAGCGGAGGAAAGAGGGGGGAGGATCTCGGGGGAGGAAAAGGTACCCATACCTCCACCCTTCGCTGGTCTTCCCCTTTTGGGGCCTCCTGGGAGGCCCTCGTCGCCGCCGCTGGATTCACCTCGAAATTCTGGTCAGAACGCACCCCGGGAAAGGTCCAGGGAGTAGCGGTATCGATACCTTTTGGTCTCCCCAGGATCGGGGGCAACGGCATGGGGGAACCTGGGCTCCTCTCGGCTCCTCCGATCCGAGTCGGCTCGAGGTCTCGACGTCTTTGTTCATCGATTCCGCTCCGACTCGGCTTAAGAGTCCGACCCGGAGTCCGACGGCGCCGTGCGGAGGCCCACCTGCCTGCCGATCTCTGCCGATATTCGACTTCTCCCGTCCCGGCGGATTCGACTTCTCGACGCGAGTCTGGGCTCCCCTCGGGGACTGGCTCAAGGGGGGGGGGGGGCGCATGGACCTCCGAGCGCCCCTGCCTCGCCGATGGGGGCCCGCGTGCTCCAGTGGTCGCCCGGGAACGCTGGGGTCTGCCCACGGGGGGCCTATCGTCCGTCGGCGACGGATCGTCGGTTTCAGGTGTCTCACCACCTCGTCGTTAAAAAATCAGGACGGGAGGTTTTTGCCGAATTTCGGCTTCGGGGGGCCCTCGCCGGGCCCCAGGACCGTCAAAGAACGACCCAGAATAAAAAACCGGCCCCGGGGAAGGGGTCGGGACTTCCGAGGACGCCGTCCTGAACAAAATCAAGACGTCGAATGTCTGGGACCCCAACGCAACCCGAAGGCCTCAATTTGCCCTCCACTTCTGGTGGGGGGGAGGTCAGGGAACACCGAACAAAACACACATGTGGAGCCCACACCCCCCCCAACCCGAAGTTTGGGTCCTCGGGTTCGGTTGGGGTGGTCTGGTATGTAGTCAAGGTCGACGTTCCCCCCCCCCCACCGTTTGCAGTAGGCTCGCGCCGTGTCGACTGGCAGCGACCCCGCCGCCGGCGTTCAGCGTGGAACGCCGCCGGCGACCCGGGATCGGTCGATGTTGAACGATCCGGACGTTTCTTGGCGGCGCGCAGAGGGGGTTAAGGGAAGGGAGGAAGGCTTCTTACAAGGGGGCCGCTTCTTAGCAGGCGCTGGCCTTACATATACAGAGAAGGCCCGCGCCTTCTAAGGGACAGGGGTGCTTCCAAGAAGACTTCCCCCTCCCCCTACCCCCTTCTGCGCGTGGCCAAGTTTCCGGAAGGGCCGATCGTTCAAGGTTGAACGATCCCCAAAGATCCGATGTCGTGATTTGTTCAATGCGCTGTCCCCGGAAGTCCCGACCCATTCCCATGGACCAGTTTTTCATCTTGAGTCGTTTTCTAACGGTCCAGAGGCCCGGCGAGGGCCCCTGGGTGCCGAAATTTGCGAAACACCTCCGTCTCGATTTTTTCAATACGTTGAGATCTCTGGCCCCCCGCGACGTCGGCAACCATCGCCCGGGGTCGTCACGACACGGACCGGCCGTATAGCCAGTTTCTCCCTCCTCTGGCGGTCGGGGTAGCGTCATGCCGTGCCGCGCCGCGTCCTGGCCCACTGTGTCACGCTGCGGCGCGACAGGCCAGCCACTGATGGGCCCGTTTGCCACCACCAGCACCGTAAGTTGGAGGGGGAAAGGAAGAGGAGGACGATGAGGAGAAGGAGGAGGAGGAGGAGGAGGAGGAGGAGGTGGAGGTGGAGGTGGAGGAGGAGGCTGAGGAGGAGGCTGAGGAGGGGGAGGAGGAGGAGGAGGAGGAGGAGGAGAAGGAGGAGGAGGAGGACCCCCTGCCCCTCCAACTTATGGTGGTTGTTGTGGAAAACAGGCCCATCAGCCGCGGCCCCCAGTCAGTCCTTGCGCGTCCACCTTCGGGCTCCCGCACGAGGGGGCTGTGCCCAGGGGGTGTGAGTTCGATCCACAGACATGATCGCGTCGTAAAAAATCACCGATCATTTTCTTTGGGTGGAGGGCAAAGGGTGAAATCTGAAATGCCGTTTCGATCGGTGTTCGAGGCTTGAACCTGCAAAAGATGAATCACAAAACGGAATGATTTTCGATGTGCAAAAGCCTACATGGATTTCACTCTGAGCCCTCCACTCAGAAAATGCTCAGAATCAGGACGGCAACTGTTTCACTGGTTTCGGCCCCTGGGGGCCCTCTCCGGGCCCCGGGACCGTCAAAAAAACATTCAGGGCGAAAATCCAGTCCCGGGGAAAGGGGGATCGGGACTTCCAGGGACGCCGCCCTGAAAATCAGGACGTCGCATATCTGGGTCGATTTTTGCACCGAACCGCTCAAAACAGATGCCCCCGAGCCGCTGGCAGCTCCCGATGGTTGCCACGAGGTGGGGCATGAGTGGGGCAGCCGTTTGCGGCAGTTCGGTGCACCAGCGGATCGAATTCATGCCCCCCCGCAGGGTCTTCCCCCTTTTGGTGGATCCCGACCCGTCCCCGGCTCTTCCCCGCGGGGCGGACACACGCGCTACAACTCGCGGGGAATAGCGTGTCGCCAGGGCCTCCGCCGGGGCATCTTAGGCGCCGTGGAGCGATCCTTTCGCGCATCGGAGCCTTCTGGACCGTCTTCGGGGCCTCTGTGGGCCCTCTTGGCCCGTCTTGGGACCCTCGTGGCTCGGAACAGTCATGCGAGAGCACGCGGGGACACGCGGCGCGCCCTGGCAGGTCCAAGAATTTTGGGCCTCGGCCCTGTACGATTCATGCAGTCACGAATGGGGACGGACAAGTCTAAGGGAACTGAGAGCGCTCCACTTCGTTTCGGGACACCCTGGCGGACAGATGCGTATATCGATGCATAGCAAGACACTCCGATCTCTATCCATATACGTATACACGCAGATGTATACATGCATACGCATACGTGTGCAGATACATATGTACATACATACATTGATACATCTGCATGTGCATGCGTTTTGTTGGTCCCCCTCTCTTTGTCTTCTGTTTCATGTCTTTATTTCGTTATGTATGTATTCCTCTCCCTCTCTCTCTCTCTCGCTGGTTCCCTCTCTCTCTCTCTCTTTCTCTCCCTCGCTTCCCCTTTTTCCCGCCCCTCCTTCGATCCGCCTTCCTGCTTCTCCCCTCCCTCCCTCATTCCCTCCCTCCGTCCTCCCTCCCTCCCTCCCTCCGCCTTCCCTCCTCTCTCCCTCTCGTGTCCCCTCCTCCAGGCCTGCCTGCCCCCCTCGCCATCCCGCCAGCCCCCCCCCCCCCCCACCCCCCTCCTCCTGCCGTTCCTCCTGTCCCCCCCGCCCTCCCCACAGCCCGCACGCCCTCCCGCCCTCCCCGGGTGGCGCTCCCTTCCAGCTCGGCCCCCCCGAGCCGTTGCCGGGGTGCGCTTCGGCCAGAGCCTCGAGGCACCTCCGGCCGCGGCGACGGGCAGCCCGCCAGAGGCGCAGGACGGCCAGGCGTACGTCGGGCGCGTCCCTCCACAGGAGGAAAATCCTAAAATAGTCGAGCCTGGCGCGCCCACGAGCCTGGCGCGCCCCCGACGAGGGGAACGTTTCTTGGGCGGCCTTGTTTGGTATCGCGCGGCAGTGTCTGGCGTTGCTTGGCTTGCCCAGTGGTGCGTGGAATTGCCTGGCGTTGCTTGGCATTTCTTGGCGCTGCTCTCTTGGATGTGTGTCGGGGGCTATCGTGAACCATCTTGAGGTACCTTGAGCAACCTTGGAGGCCATCCTGGGCTCTCCGAGGCCCTCTGGGAGCCATCCTGGGCGATCTTGGGGACTCTGGCGCCTCGCGGCCCCAACTCCTCCTGGGCCCAGGAGAGGAGGTAGGGGGAGGGGTAACTCTTCTTTCCGAGCAGGTGAAGGAGGGGTTTGGGCAGAGATATGTAGAGAGCGAGAGAGAGAGAGAAGACAAAATCTGTTGAAACACCCACGCCCAGAGGGCTGGTGGGATCGGGATGTGCGGCTCTGCAAACTTGAAGCGCGACGCCGACACGGGCCGATAAACCGCAGGACGGACTAATTCTGAGGGGCTTCGGCCCCGTCGCCCATTCTTTGATGGGCCGGCTTTCCAGCAAAACCACCATAAGTTGGAGGGGGGAAAGGGGGTGGAAGGTAAGGAGGAGGAGGAGGAGGCGGCGGAGGAGGAGGAGGAGGAGGAGGGGGAGGAGGAGGAGGAGGAGGAGGAGGAGGAGGAGGAGGAGGAGGAGGAGGAGAAGGACCCCCTCCCCCTCCTACTTATGGTGGTGGCGGTGGAAATCAAGCCCACCATCCTTAGGAGGCGCTCCCTGCGCACGCGCGGAGCGGCATCGCCGCTGGCCTCGCCTCGCCCCGGCCCGCCTTTGCGCGCGCGGAGGCCCCCCCCCTGCGCTTCGGCGGCCGCCCGCCCGCCTCGAGGGGAGGTCCGGCTCGAGGGGCCCCCGCGCGGGGGGGGCGCGCAAGGCGGGGGCCCCCGCGGAGCGCCGAGGAGGCGGCCCGCCGCACGTCGAGGGCAGCGCCCAGGTCGGAGGGAGGCACGGTCGGTCGAGCGTTCGAGGCATCGGTCGATCGATCGTTCGATCGTTCGCTCGAGGGTCCACCTAAAACAACAAGCAGCCCAGAGCACACAAACAAACGGCAGGCTGCCACCACAACAACAGAAACACCACAAGCTGGCTGCTGTTTGCTGTGACAGCCTGTTCTTTGCGACAGCCTGTTCTGTTGCGATGACATGGTGTGCTGCCGCTGCTGGGTCCCTTCTGTGGAGCAGGCCACGGAGCGAAAGCCTGCAGAGTCAACGTCGGCGGGCCGGCGGCCGCCCGCCCCGCCGCGCTCGCAGCCGGGCAGGGGGCACGAGGGGCAGCGCGGAGAAGCTGGGTGAGAGAGGCGCCCGGCCACAACAGTCAGCAGCAACCCGATGGTGATCGTGTTCTTCTCCATTGTTTTGCCGATCGGCGCGGGCCCTCGCACCTCCCCCCCCCACACTTCCCATGCATCGGATCTTGGCTGTCTTGGGCCCTTGTTGCGAGCAGGTGGAGTCCCTCCCCCACAGGGCTCACTGCCGCAAACAGTCGCACGAAAAGCAGAGGTCCGGGGCCAGACCCCCCCCCCTCTCTCTCCCCCCTTTCTGCCCGATGAATGACGAAACGCCGAATAAGAAAACGCCCGCTTGATCGTTCGAGGCGTCACTTCCGCTCGTCTTGGATCGAGCGCGTATCGGCGAACAGCTTGTCATAGTGCCCCACAACGCCGACCGGGGGCCCTGACGGAAGGGGGGACACTGCTTGCATCAGCTTCGGGAGGTCCACGCGGTTTTCTCGGATCGGCGCTGGGCCCCTTGATGGAAACATTTTCCACACCCACTACCATTAGGACGGGGGAGAAGGGAGGATGAGGAGGTCCTCCTCCTCCTCCTCCTCCTCCTCCTCCTCCTCCTCCTCCCTCCGAGGTCCTACCTATGGTAGTAGTGGTGTAAAATTTGACCATCACCCTCCTGGTCGAGGCTCGAAAGTCAAGGCTACGATCGAGCGGTGCGTGCTGGCAGTGCTGCGCTGGTCCTCGGACTCCGCGGGCGTCGTCTCGGGACTCCGGGCCCGTCTTGGACGCCCCGAGAGGCCCCCCAGAGCGCTCCAAGAGCTCGAGGGAACCAGGCCCATGCAGCCAAGGCGCTGACATCATCGGCGCCACCCCAACATGCGATGACCATGTGCATCGCCCCCCCGCCCCCCACAGGGGCGACGCGCGCGCCGAGAAGTCTTGTAGCATAAGCTCCTTGGTGGGCGTGTTCTGCCCGTACTGTTCGGGCAGCGATATACGATACGAGGGTTATGATGTTCCAACCTACTTTAGCCTTGACCACCAAGAATAATTTCGAGCACCAGGGCGCTGGGAAGCGATGCTTTCACATGTCGGGCCCTGGGAATCGATACTCCTTCGAGACTGTTTCGGTACTTTTTTGGGTGCTCGAAATCATTTTTGGAGATTTGGACCTTAACTACGATAGGGGCAATAATCCCAGGAGCGCCTCCTCCGAACCCCTGCCGTCTCAGGAAGGCCGTCCTCCTCGCCTCGCGCAGATTCCCCTTCTTCAAGGAGAGCCGGCTTCTAGTGAGGAGGAGGAGGAGGAGGAGGAGGAGGAGGAGGAGGACGAGGACGAAGAGGGAGGAGGGAGGAGGGAGGAGGGAGGAGGGAGGAGGAGGAGGGGGGAGGAGGAGGAGGAGGAGGAGGAGGAGGAGGAGGAGGAGGAGGATGAGGGGGAGAAGGAGGAGGAGGAGGAGGAGGAGGAGGAGGAGGAGGACGGGGTCCGTGCTGTTAGGGTGGCGATCTACGATACGAGGGTTGTGCTACTTACATGTTCGGGTCGGACGCACGCCTCCGAGGAGGATGCACAGTGCGGCTAAGTCCTTGCGCGTCCCAGAATATAAAGCTCCAACTTCGGGGTTTGCAGGGGTTCCGGTGTCCGGGCCGCTCGTTTGATTTGTTGATTGTGGAGCCCATGCTCAAGTCGGGCCTGTCCTCTACAGAGGGAATGTTCAAACATAGCCATACATAGTAGGGGAACTATAGTTTGAGCATTTGTTGGTCATGTTTGCGGTATTTCTGGACAATTTCTCATGCTTCCTCCAACAGCCGCCTGCAGGGGGACACGCCCGACCTAAGCCTATGCATGGCCGACGCTCATTTTGGTCAGGAATTAGTGCCTTCGTTGCTTGTGTAGCGTTCGCACGATGACTGTACCCCGTCGGGTCATGAACAGAAACACGACGGGAGAAATTTCGCCAGCTCTGGCCTCCAAGGGGTCCTTCGCTGCGATCCAGGGCCGGCAGCACAGAACTCAGGATGAAAACCAGTTCTGAGAAATGGGTCGAGACTTTCGGGAGCGGCAAAGAGAGGGGGGGTGACTAGGGGGGATATCAGAGCGGGGGCTATCCCCCCTGGTTTCATGGCGCTTTTTTTCAGTACGTCCCTGGCCCCCCCCCCCTTGGGCCGCGCACGTGCCGCCTGCCATGATTTGCGCCCCCCCTCTTGGACGCCCCCGAGAATGCTGGGGGTCGACGTCATGCAAAGTTCATGTCGTCGGGCGTCTGGGGAGTGTTCCAGGACGTGCTCACCGTGGCCCAGGAGGGCCCGACGAACGCCCCAGAGCACCCTCGTCGTTCACAGTGCTTTTCGTCCCCATTCTCCTCATCGTCCTCGCGTTCCTCCTCGTCCTCCTCGCCGTCCTCCTCGTCCTCCTCATCCTCCTTCTCTTCTACGAAGGCCTGCTTCTGGTCATCCTCCGGGTCATCCTCGCCATCATGATACCACTCCTCCTCCTCCTCCTTGTGCTACTTGTGGGTTTCCCTGTCCCCATCGCTCTCCCAATCCTCCTTCTGCGCCTCCACGCTGTACCCCTCCTCGTCCTCCACCCTGTCCTCCTGGTCCTCCTCATCCTCCACGCTGTACCCCTCACCCTCCTAATCCTCCTGCTCCTCCTCATCCTCCTGCTCCTCCTCCTTCTCCGCCCTCACGAAGTACCCCTCATCGTCCTCCACTGGTCCTCCTCGCCTCTCTCCTCGCTCTCTCCAGCATCGTCCTCCTCCTCCCCTTCGTGGTCCTCGCCGTCCCCGTCATCGCGCTCCTCCTCGTCGCTAGACCTCCTCGTTGACCCCCGTTCTCTCATCATCTCCCTCCCTCCCTCTCCCGCTCTCTCTTTAGTATCGTTTAACCGATCCCCATCCCCATCCCCATCCAGACCCCCACCATGACATCTCCCCAGTTGGGATTGATATACCCTTCGAAATCAGACAGTCACTACCTATATTCCCATCTAGGAGGGTAAACCGGCCAGTGGGGTCCAGGCCACGCGAGTGGGGATAGGGATCGGTGAAACGATGCTCATCTCTCTCCCACTCGCTCTCTCTCTCTCTCTATCTCTCTCTCCCTCTCTCGCGGAGGTGCCCAGACCCGACTACGCAACGACGACACAGCACGTGCTCCCGGTGCGTGCTGTGGTCCACGTGCGTGTGCGTTCTTGCTCGCAGTGCCTGGAGGAGCGGCGGTTCCTGCTCCTGTCCGACCCGGCTCTGTCAATCCCGTCCCAGCAGCCGCACGGCCCGCCCTTCCCACTCATCGGGCCGCTTCAAACGTTTCGACGCGCGGGTCCCCGGAGGAGTGGACCACCTCCTCAGGGCCGGTTTATCGTCCTGAGTCATGCCCTGCCGCTCCCGGGGCCCGGCGAGGGCCCCCGCCGAAGGCCTTGAGAGGCAGACCGCGGGCCGCTCCAATCTTTTGTCGGCGCGTGCCTCGGGTCTCCGGTATCACGCTCTCCTGCCCATCACCTTCAGCTCAAGGGCGCAGGCACAGAGCCCATGCACAGGGCCTCCGATGGGCAAATCTTCCACCACCACCACTACCATATGTAGGACAGGGGAGAAGGGAGGATGAGGATGTCTTCCTCCTCCTCCTCCTCCTCCTCCTCCTCCTTCTCCCCCTCCTCCTCCTCACTTCCTCCTCCTCCTCCTCCTCCTCCTCCTCCTCCTCCTCCTCCTCCTCCTCCTCCCTCTGCTATTTATAGTAGCGGTGCAGGAAAATAGGCCCATCAGCCTCGGCTCCGCAATCCTGGCGCCGACCTCCTTCCGCCTGATCCGCGCTGCAGCGCAGCTCCCATGGGGAAGCCGCTCTCGGGCAGGGCTCCGCGGCCGAGGGCGGAGGGCGGGAACGAGAAGCGTAAGTTCTGCATGTTCCACTTGCAGGGCATCTGCCGCAAGTCTACGCAGGAACTCGCTCGAAGCAGATTTGGGCCTCCTAGATGGGGTCCGAGTAGATGGGGTCGGAGAACCGCGCCGCATCGCCGATGCATCGACCTTGCGTCTCGATGTGAAGCCCTTGTTTCCCCACGCCGACGCCGCCGATGCATCGCCGTGGTCGCCGATGCATCGCTGATACATCGGCCATGCATTGGCGAAGTGGCGCGATCCTTCTAGCCCATCTACTCGGACCCCATCTAGGAGGCCTCTAAAAGACCTCGTAGGCGATTGCTCTCCCCCAGTCCCCGAGCTCCGCCCGAGGAGTTTGGCCGAGAAGTTTGGCCGCTCGGGAACAGGGGGAACCCCTGGATTCACCCCAAGGGGGCTGTTCGGACGCACGACCATCGAGAGTGCGCGCCCCCGCAGCGTGTGTCCGGGGGCTGGGCCCCAAAGTTCTAATCCGTTCGAAAGCCCCGCGAAGTCTGGAGTGAATGGTCGACAGGTCCTCTGCCGGACGGGTGGCGCTTGGTGGGGGCGCCCTCCAGCTGCTGGCGCCTCTGCAGTGTATATCGCTTTGGCTGGTCCAGATGGGCCTTCAAGCCCTGGTAATCAATGACAGCCGACAGGGGAGAACAGAAAAAACGTAAACATGAGCGGATGCATGAATCCGAGACGGGAATCTACACATGTCCATTGCCTGGTCACCCGGTGGGGAACCACGACGTTGGTTCCCAGGCGATGGCTATGGATAAATCCCCACCTCGCAGCACAGACAACGCCTCGGAGCTCCGCGCGGGTATCTTGGACCGGCACCGGGCCTCCCAGGGCGGCGCCTCTGGGGCGACGCTCCTGGCCGATCCAAGAACTCCGCCCGGACCTCCGACACCTTCTATGTTCTCGGAGTGTTGCCTCCAGAGGAGGACGAGGTACGGCAGGTTCGTGTCGTGTCGACTGGCGGCGACCCCGCCGCTGGCGTTCCACGTTGAACGCCGCGGGTGGCCCAGGATCGTTCGATGTGGATCGATTTGGACGTTTCGGAAACGGCCGATCGTTGTTCAATTTTGAACGTGCCCCGCGGTGTCAGAAACCAGCGCCGAAGTCGGCATGACACGAACCTGACGTACCCATGCCGCTGCCCTTCCCTCGCTTTCCCCCCCTTGGGGGCCTCCTGGGAGGCCCTCGAAGTCGTGGAGGGGGGGTCCCGAACGGCCTTGCCTCGTCCCTCGGCGTGCGTCCGCCCTGGGGTCGCCGCAGAGGCTCGTTTGCAGGGGGAGCTGGTCAGGGCCCGTCCCGCCAGGCACGCGCGGGCAGGTTTGCGCCGGCCCCCCGCCCCCAGGGGGAGGAGGAGGAGGAGGAGGAGGAGGAGGAGGAGGAGGAGGAGGAGGAGGAGGAGGAGGAGGAGGAGGAGGAGGAGGAGGAGGAGTTCTCCACTGCTGCAGGGCTCCACGCGCCCATGCCCACGGCCTCGCGGGCCAGACCCCCAGGCCGAGACCCCACGGATACATCGACGGAGCGCAGGCGCGGGCATGGGTCGAGGCGCACGGATTCGCGACGGGCCCCGTCTCCGAATCCGCAGCGGCGGGCTCCGCCACCACACCGGGCGGCACTGGGTCTTCGTGCTTCGGGGCTGCTCTCCCCGATCCCTGGATCTGGCGCCCGCGCACCGAATCCAAGCGTCTGGATACTTCAGACTAGCGCGTATGATAATTCCCTCCCAATTTCTGTGCAAAAGAGGTCTGAAGCTTAGATCCAGCTCGACTTTAGTCAAGAAGCTCACCATCATCTCGGAAGAATCGGTAGAAAACGAATAGTTTCGCGAACCCAGATCAACGGATCTTCACGGTAGGTTCGCGTCGCGTCGACCGGCGGCGACCCCGCCGCCGGCGTTCAGCGTCGACCGCCGCCAGCGGCCCAGAATCGGTCGATGTTGAACGATCTGACGTTTCGGAAACGGCCGCTCGTTCAAGGTTGAACGACCACCGCGGTGTCAGGAACCAACGCCAGGGTCGACACGACACGAACCTGCCGTCCAGTGAGCGGCTGGGATAAGGAGCACTCATTGTGCAAAAGGGGCTCGGTCGTTCCTTTGGTCTGGATGTGTTGTTTATCGTTCCTTATGCATTATGTATTATATATATACATATATAGATCATTCCTTATGCGTTACATCTTGGAACAAAACGGGGCTTCCTTCCTCATTGATCGTTCCTTCGGTCGGGCCGAAGACTGCAGTCCATCTCGGCGTGTCCCCGAGGGTGCGGGGCGGCCTTGCGCGGATGCCCCCCGCGCGGAGCGCACCAGCGCGGTGGCGTACCCTGGGGATCTCGCCTGGGTGTGCAGGCGGCGAGGACGGAGACGTGGATCAGGAGGGAAACAACACACAGACACAAGGAGTCGTCGATCCCCAGGGAAAAATGTGCAAAAACGTGGGAAGTGGGGGGGAAGACGACGAACATCCCAGAACGTATGGAACAAGAGGGGGGATCCTGGGCTTTGTGTGTATGTGTCTGTGTCCCTGGGCCCCTGGCATTGTTTTTGTTTGTTTGTTTGTTTATTTGTTTGTGTGTATATTTGTTTGTGGGATGTGTGTATATTTGTTGGTGTGTTGTGTATAGTGGTTTGTGTGTATATTCGTTTGTGTGTAGATTTGTCTGTGTGTGCCCGTGGCTCGTGAGGAGTGCCCCTGGGCGCACTCCATCGAGGAGATGGAGAGCTCCCGCTCCCGGGCCAAGAAGAAGGCCTCGCCGGCGCGGGACGCGATGGGCGTGTCTACCACCACCACCACAGTTTGGAGGGGGTGGGGTCCTCCTAACCCTCCTCCTCGTCCTCCTCCTCCTCGCCCTCCTCCTCCTTCCCCCCTCCAACTCCTCCTCCTCGCCTCCTTCCCCCCTCCAACTCCAACTCCTTCCCCCCTCCAACTCCTCCTCCTCCTCCTCGCCCTCCTCCTCCTTCCCCCCTCCTTCCTCCTCCTCCTCGCCCTCCTCCTCCTCCTCCTCGCCCTCCTCCTCCTTCCCCCCCTCCAGCTCATGGTGGTGGTGGTGGAAGACAGCCTCCTCAGGACGACTCCGCATCCTGGCCGTCAGAGTCCTCGTCGTCGCCCGCCCCCCCGCTCTGGGAGGCGGTCCCGCGGGGAGCAGTCGGCGGCGCGCGGGAGGGGGGGGGGAATCGGGGGCGGCAAAGAGGGGGGTGATGTGGAACGTATCAACGGCTGTCTAGGCCTCGGGGGGTACAGGCACATGGCACACCCCGTTCCTCAGTTTTGTTAACTTTCTCATGGTGTGAGTGTCCAGCTGGTGGGGCTGGGATGTTGTATAATACTTCGCAGTGGCTGCAAGTGAGGAATAAAACGCCTCTCAAATGCAACCGTTCTTTTTACCGCCAGTGCTTGAGGAAGCAAAAAAACAGGGGGGTGATGACTCTAGGGGGGGGGGATCACGGCGGAGGCCATGATATTTCCCCAGAGTTCATGGCGCCTCTTCTTATGTCATCACGTCCCTGGCCCCCCCGCCGGGCCGCGCACGTGCCGCTGGTCATGATTTGCACCCTCCTCTCTTGGACACCCCCCTCTTGGCCGCTCCCGAGTGAAGCGAGAGGAGGAGCGGGCCTTCTCGGAGGCTAGGAAGTCGCCTCGGCCTTCTGAGGAGTTTTTTGTTCTGAGCCTGCCCCGAAGACGCCGGGCACTTGTCAGGAGTCGCGAGGGCTTCTGAGAAGTGCCGCCGCCTTCCGAGGAGGCCTTCTCCTTCTCGCTGCCCCCCTTCGCTCGCCGCCGAAGAAAAGCAGATCGACACCGATGCCCTTCACTCGTTTTTGGGCGTCCTGGGCCTCCTGGGGGGCCTTCGCCGCCACGGCTGGATTCCTACCGGAATCCCGACCAGATCACGGCTCGACTTGAACGGTGTTTCCACGATTGCGTGGACCGTGTTCGTTTTGGTATGTGTGTTCTGCACCAGAGGCGGCACGAATACGAAACGAGGGACAACGAAAACAGCGCGACATTGGCAAACACCGTTTCGGCCGAGCTCTGGGCCAGATCGTTCCCCCTGGAGGAGGTCTGGGGAGTGGCGGCAACGGTAAAAGTATCATTTCCCAGGTCCAGGCTGCGACGGCCGCACAGAAACATTGCAGGCCACCTCAGACCTCAACGGCGCCAGCGCTCGCGGCCACCCACGTGATGGACGGCGGCGTGGACATGATTGCGGGGAGCACCAGACGAGGCGACCCGCGGCTGCTCAACCTGTCGCCAGAGCCGGTGCTCACCCCAGAGCGGGGCATGTATTATCGCAAACGCGTTTTGCGAGGCACCACTGCCCCCAACCTTTATGGAAACGCCTGTGTGTCCAACGCGCTGGGGCGCGTGATGGCCCTTCGGAGCAGCTTTTGGACTGTCGTAGGGCTCTTTCCGAGCCTATGAGTGCTTTCTGCGGGGCCTCCTGGTATCGTCCTCGGCGATCTTGAAGTCTGTGTGGCCGATCTGGGCCGCTCTTCGGCCGACTGGCAGCTGGTGGTCTCTCTGGGCCGTCTTGGGGCGGTCTTGCGGCCTTTGCAGGCTTCCTCGGAGATCTCTCGGACCGACAGGAGCGAAAGTCCTTCAACCACTCGAGGAAAGGCAACGATTTTGGGGGTCCTCTGGGAGCCCTGCCTCCTGGGACATGTTCGAGCCCTCTTGGGCCGTCTTGGAGCCCTCCTGGAGCGTCTTGCGGCTCTCTTGGCGCTTTCCTGGGCCGTCTGGAAGGCAATCTTGGCGCTCTTGGTAGGGTACTGCCACGTGTGAGTTCTCAGGACTCGATGCGGGGGCGGCCAAAACGTGTTTAAAATATTTGGCGCGCCAACCAGTCCTGCGGCAAGCACAGAAGCCGGCGGACCTGGTGGCCTCCGCCATCTCCCGTCATTGTGCCTCGGGGCACACCGTGAAATGCCTGAGCGGGGCCAGGAGTTCCGGCAAATCCTTGACCCGGGCCCTCCAAACGTGCAGCCCTGCCACGCCTTGCATCGCCACGAGCCTGCCCCCACGCTTGGCCGCCCGGGGGGGGAAGGGCGCGAAGCAGAAACCCTTTGGCCCTCGGACGCTGGACTTTTTTAGTCAGTGCTCGGCCCAAACGGTGTCCGGGCGATCTCGTGGACCGTTCTGGCCTTGACGCTCTCTTGCAGCAGAGGCGGACTGAGGGCGGAAGGAGAGGGAGCGAGAGAACACGGAACAAAAACGAAAAAACGGAAAACGCTGTCTAGGTCGAGCCCTGACTTTACGCATGCCCCCGGTCCGCCCCCCCGTGGAGTTTTCGCGCGAGCAGGTGCATCGACAAGACGTCGATCGCACACCCGGGCGCGAAGACTATCGCGCCCGGCGGCGGGGGCCTCAACGGAACGGCGCCCTCCCCCAGAGCGACCGTTGCGCCATCTCTTCTCACACCGGCCGTTTTCGCCGGGCCTCGGGCCCCAGGAACATGTCGATCCACCTCGACAAACGACTTGGGAAGATGAGGTTCAGGAGAGGAAGAAACACACAGACACAAGTAATCCTCGATTCCCCAGAAAATATGGGAAGTAGGGGGGAAGACACAAACCCAGAAAATATAGTAAAATATGGGGATTTGTTTTATTTGTGTGTATTTATTTGTGTGTCCCAGGGCCCCTTCAGAGGTGCCCATGGCCGTGTGCTGCGCCATTTCCCGGGCCCCCATCCTCCTGCACCCTCGTCGCGAGCCAGGCCGATCTGTGATGGCCCCGTGGCCCGAGGACTTCGGCGGAAGCGCCGCAGTGGAGACACTGCTCCGCCAGTGGGGACGACCGTTGTTCCTTCACTGTCTTGCCGATCGGTGCGAGCCCCAGCCCGCCCGCCCCCCCCCTGTGAAATTTCGGGGAAACGTAAGACTCGAGTAAGCCAGAGCTCGGGTTTGCTGACTTTTTTTGTCGAGCGCGTCCTGGATTTTGACGGTCTGGTTTTCGTGGGATGTCTGCAGCGGGAGTTCGCGTCACATTTCAGATGGGGTCTCGTCATTTTCATGATGGCCCCGTCGGGCCAACCCGAGTCCCCCGCACCCGAGTCCTACGTCTCCCCGAGAGTAGATCTTGGCTGTTTTTTGGTGCCTGTTTCGAGTAGGTTGATTCCCTCCCCCACGGGACGCACGGTTGCAAACAGTCGCACTGAGCTCAGGAGGGGAAACAACACACAGACACAATTAATCGTCGACTCCCCAGAAAATCTGGGAAAATATGGGCAGTGGAGGGGAAGACAAAAACCCAGAAACTATTTGAAAATATTGGGAATCTTTTCATTTGTGTATTTATTTGTGTGTCCCAGGGCCCCTTCAAAGCAGTCGCACTAAGCAGAGGTCCAGAACCAGACCCCCCCCCCTCCCCTTCCGCCCAATGTCGAAACGCCGAATCAGAAAACGCTCACCAGCTGGGATGGGGATATCCTGTGAGGTACGGGGGCGATCTCTGCCTCTGCATGGGGGTTCTCCTCTGCCGCCTTCGGCCTCTCCCGGGCCCTCCCGTGGGCCCCAGGGCCCTCCGGAGAGCGACGCGGGATGAGCTCCCTGGCTTCCTGGCCGATCCAACGACGTGGTGAATACATCGAGCCCCCCCGCTCAGATCTCAGTGGATGCCAATGCCAGGAAACACCCTGCTTGCCTCCAGGGGGTCCTGGATTTCTTGGGTTTCGATTGTTTAGGATGGAAAACGTGGCGTCCCACACCAAAAAACGATGGACGTCCCTGGGTCTCAGGATTGGGTTTCTTGTGGAAGGTTTCTTGTGGACTGGCCTCCACTGTACATCGACCCCAACCCCAGATCTGACGTTGCAACATATATCCAACACCGCCACAAATCACGACAGAGCCTGAGGCCCCATCTTCCCTCTCCATTTTTCGAGCCCGATCGATCTGTGAGGGTCCCAGTGCCCGAAACGATGTAAAATCCCACGCTGTGAATAACCATTCCGACGGAAGGAATCCGCATGAGAATTGGTTTGATGTTCATGCGAGTCGTCATCATCGACGACTGACGATGGTGATGATTCCAGGATGCCAGGATACCAGCATGCGACTTTGAGGCCGTTGGGACCTGTGGGCCCATTGGGCTTTTCAGACTTGCAGGGCTTGTGGGACTCTGTGACCTCTGGGATCTGTGCGACCTGCGGGGCCTGTGCTAACAACCGTTGGGCATGTGGCACCTGTGAGACATGTGGGGCCTGGGGCACCTGTGGGCCCCGCGGAACCCGCGGGACCGGTGGGGCCCCCGGTTTTCGTGGGACCTATGGGGCCTGGGAAACCTGTGAGACGTGTGAGGTCCGTGATTGTTGGACCTGTGGGACTTATGGGGCTTGTGCGACCTGTGGGACCATGGGCACCGTGAGTCTTCTTCGACCTGTGGGACCTGTGTAGCCTGTGCGCCCCCAGCTCCCGCTCGAGACTTCCTCGCGATTGACTTGCAGACGAGGCTCCCGCTCGCGGCCTCCTCACGATTTGCTATTTAGGGTGCTCAATGATCATGCCTGCTACTTTAGCTCAAGTTTTGGCACACTTCAAGACCACGCACTACAAGGTCCTATGACGCATAACTCTCTCGGGGTGGCCGGCTCGCCGTCGCTGGCCAGGACTTCAAAGTTAGAGTTTGGAGTGCGGAATGGCTTACAGCAGAGAGAAGGTTGCAGAGCTCTTGCGGCACACGCAGCAGGAAAACATCAGCATCCTCTGCATTCAGGAAACGCACAAGGGTAAATCCGAGTATGAGATCACAGTCGGGGGTTTCCTGCTTATGCTGTCTGGTTCGGCAGAAGACGGACCGGAAGCAACGCCAGGAGTTGGATTCCTGATCCCTCCGCTGGCGCGTCGCAACATAATTGGTTTTAGACAGGCCTCTTCGAGAATGGCATCTCCCAAGATGCGGGTCCGTAAAGGCGGAATCGTCATCTGCAGCGCCTGCGCCCCGCACAGCAGGAAACCATTCGTCGCCCAGCGGACTTTCTTCGTCAAGTTGACGGGCTTCCTCGGCAGCCAGTCCGCCTACGGACCGGTGGTCTTATTTGGTGTTTTCAATGCCAGAATACACAGGCGCGTCCTCGGAGAAGAAGACGTGCTGGGCCCGCTCATATCGGGGACCAGCACGGGCAGCGCAACCCAGAATCAAACATAACATTCCTGCACGAGCTTTGCAACTGTCGTAAGCTAGCTGTCGGTAATACATATGTTCGACGAGCCCCCGGAGCGCCATATTACGTATTATGATATCGGACGCTCGCCAGCGGACCCTCCAATGCACCAGAACTGCGGGCAGCTGGACTTGGCGATCGTATCCATGGAATGGCTCCGGTGCGTGAAGAGCGCACCCGATATCAAAGACAGGGCGATCGCGTCGCATCGTGTTCTCGTGAGTGCATCCCTGGACGTGGACGTCCATCGCGAGAACAGCGGCCCCAATGAGCCTCGACGACAGCTTGGTGCGCTTCGGGGCGACATAGTGGCCGGCGCCTGCCTTCTCCGATCCCACATGAGTTCCAGCGGGTGCGAGCACGGGGACGCAAGCGTCCAGCAACTCGCGTCGAGTATGACAGATGCTTTGAGTTGTGCTGCCCGAGAGGCTTTCCCGACTGTCGCGAGGAGACCTGCGGCGATCGTGGATATCGAACAGGACACACCAGTTGATAGACGACAGAGATTCAGCTAGGGCGCACGGGACGACGCAGGAAAAATTGCACTTGCACCGAGCTGTGAGAGACTCTTGTTGACCCCGACCAGCACGCTGACACAATGGCAGAGTACGTTTGCAGAGTCCGATGAGCAGCGCGGCCGACAAGCGCGGCGCCAAAAGGGGACCCCCTTGGCGATGAGCTGGCTGCGCCATGTGGGCCTATCACCGAAGGCGAAGTTGTAAGTGCGGCTGGTCGGATGAGGCGGGGCAAAGCTTCCCGTAAAGTTGGCACGCCTGAGGTTTGGAAGACAATCTGCCGAGCTGGGGTGCCTACCTGCAAGCGGGCTGTCGAGCTGTGCAGCAAATGTTGGACTGACGCAGCAGTTCCGTTTCCAGCGGAGAGGCACGATGGGGGTCGCGGCAATGATCTTCGAAAAAGGAGACGTGACCCAGTTCGACAACTACCGGCCCATCTCCTTGACGGCTGCTGGCTACAGCGTTTTCGCTGGAGTTTGACTTAGCCAGCTGAATGCGGGCGGGGCCAAGGGCCGAATTTGGTGCATTCACTTCGGCTCCAAGTCCAAGCACGGAGCTGCGGGCGTTATTTTTCTGGTCCGGCGAATACATGTGCGAATGCGGGCCGAGAAGAGCCGGCAGGTCGTCCTGCAGGCCCTCGATTGGGCGAGCGCATTCGACAGCGTCTGCCCGGGGTTTCTTGCGCTAGCTCTCAGGTTTGGCGTGCCGAAGGTGGTGCTGGCGATCTACGGGGTGCGAAGCTTCTACGTCGGGACGCCCGCTCGACCTCGGCGCCGAGGGCGCAGGAATCTGGCATCAGTCAGGGGTGCCCGCTGTCGCCTTTCCTCTTCGCGATCGCGATGACCGCGTTGCTGCGAGACGCGAAGGAGGAGGCTGGACCACTGCTGGACCTCTCCCAGGCGGTACATGAGTTGGTCAACGCCGACGACGCAGTGCTCACTTACGAGTCCGATACAGCGACGGCACACATGCGCAGCATCGATAAGCAGCTTGATCACAGTACGGGCTGCAGCTCAATCGGCGCAAGGTGGGAGTTCGAGCCGGTGGATGCGATGCGCACATTCTGAGGCCAGTATGTTCCCAGGTGCCGCAGAAAGAGAGCATCCAACATCGAGGCAGCCTGATTCCGAACGACGGGAAGATTGGCCCAGAGCCCGGCGCCGCGCTGGCAGAATTCGACAAGTTGAAGCGAGTGTGGTGCAAGTTCAAGTTGACGCAGCCCAGGAATGTTTAGGTTCTCGACGCTTGCATGCTGCTGTACTGTCTACACACGGCCTTTCGGGGCCCGTCGGAGACGGAGGCAGGTGCTCCGCACACTTCGTTTACGCATTAGCTGCGCCACGAGGTGTAGTGCTTTGAAGCAAGCGGACGCCGCCCCACTGAACAATGCCCTGCTGAATCGTCAGTTGCTACTCCGAGGACATATCGCTCTGGAGCAAGCTGATGTTCCGATCCGATGCGTTGTCCTACGCAATTTTGCTTGCAAGCTACCAGCACATACCTTCAAGCGAAAGCGAGGTCGCCCTCGAACATCTCGAACCAGTCTTTGCCCACGCTGTCCGGGCTGCGGTGGGCGAGGGGGCCATGCCGCAGCTCTGGCAAAACAGCGTAATTTCTGCTGCAGCCTGACGTTCAGCCGTGAAGCGATATTGCGACGCCCTGTGAGGTCACGGCATTTGTTCTCATGTGTTTTACTTTCGGCTTCGTCTCCTAGTAAGCCGGCGGCGGGGAACCCATATCGGGAGAGCTCCCGCTCCAGACGTGTCCTCCATATCCAGGCCCGAGGAGCCCAAACCTGACACCAGCTACACTGCTTGAGTGACCTCGCTCGGATTCGACAATAGAGGTGGAGACCCCAGGCGGGGGGGGTCCCGCTAGAGACTTCCTCGCGATTCACTCACAAACCAGGCGCCCGCTCTAGACACTTTCACCAGATCCTGGCCTGGGAGGCCCGAAGCGGGCGACAGCTACAGGGTTTGGATGACCCCGCTCGGATTCGATCGTGGAGGTGGAGGCCCCAGACGGAGGGGTTTCCGCTCGAGGCTTCTTCGCTTTCACCAGATGCTGGCCTGGGGGGCACAAAGAGGACGACGGCTACTGGGTTTGGGTGACCCCGCTCGGATTCGATCGTGGAGGTGCAGACCCCAGACGGAGGGGTTGGGAATTTCGCGCGATCCACTCACGAACGAGGCTGCCGCTCGAGACTTTCTCAACATAAGCGTGCAGTGTGCGAATGTCTGCGTGTGCTTGTGTTTGTGTTTGTGTGTGCGTGTTGAGTGCAAGTGGTGGAGACGAGGAGAGGGGTGATGGTTCCACCGCGAGAATGTACAGATAATTCAAGACCCCGCTCAGGACGTGGGGAGTGAGAACGCCAGGATGTCAGTGGCCGCCCTCGCTTTGCAGATGCAAGAAGATTGCACGGCGTCCAGAATCACGACCTGGGTCCCAGATTGGATCCGGTTTCCAGGGCCGTGTTTTGAGCGAGATCGATGTGTGAGGGCCCGGGTGCCCGAAGCAAGGCGGACTTTTCCTGATGAGCCGGCGCAGGCCGGTTTTCAATTTAAGTAGCTCCAGTCATTGAGCAACCTAATTTATCCACAGCCATTTGTCTGCTGCTCATCGGGCTTGTGATGGCATTCGCCCGGACGAAAAAAAAATGAAAACACATATAAAAAAAAACACGCGCCAGGATCTCGGGGGCCCTTCCCAGCGCCCAGGGCGTGGCCGCGGATCCTGCGCCTCTCTGGGCGCTGCCGCCCGGCTGGCCCGCCAGAGGTCGGCATCGCCCGACCGATCCCAGCGCCTCACAAGCCCTGCAAGGGGATCACCACCAAGGGGGCCGCCACGATCTCGAAAACACGACGCTTTCCTCGAGGAGGTGGCTCCCCCAGCACAAGCACGCCAGAGACTTCCAGAACGACGGCCCGAAACGTCCAGAGCTACCTCCTCGAGCTTCAATTCCTTGAGCTACCTCCTCCAGTCGAGTCGAATCGGAGGAATCGCAACATTTTGCGGTCGTTTTCTTAGATGTCGGTTTGCCGATCGGCGCAGGCCCTCGTACCCCCTCTCCCCCCGACCACCCCCATGGAGCAGATCTTGGCTGCTTTGGGCGCCTGTTTCGAGCAGGTGGGGCCTCCCCATGCGGACGCACAGTTCCAAACAGCCGCACTACGCAGAGGTCCGGAGCCAGACACCCCCTCTTTTCCCGCCTCTTCCGCCCAATGCCGAAACGCCGAATAAGAGAGCGACCACCTTGGAGAGCCCCAGCGTTTCAAAGCCAGGGAAGCTGGGGCATCTGTGCACCGATTTCCCCCTGGCCAACCAAACTCGGCGGCGAGCGAGGGGGGGATGTGAGAAGGAGATGCCTTCTCAGAAGGCGGCAGGATTTTTCAGGGCATCGCGCGCCTTCGGAGAAGTGTCCGAGGTCTTCGGGAGAGGGCATCCTGGGCTCCCATCGTGGTGTACCGGTGTCGCGTTGCCCTTCACGCTTTCAGCGCCTGCAGCCCTAGCTTCGGTCCCTAGATGTGGCCGTGATGCCCACCCGACAGACGACCTGGTGTACGAGCCAAGCCGCGCCAAGCCCCGCTGCCCCAGGAGATTTGGCAATTTGGGCACTGGGCCCCTTAGAGACTTCGCAGGAGTGCGGATTGAGGCTCAGGACGCGCCCACTCCGTGCACAGCTGGGGAAACCAAAAAGCACCGATGCCGCTACCCCCTGGACCTCCCCCTCGGGTGCGTTCTGGCCAGGATTTCGAGGCGAATCCAGCGGTGAGGTCGACGAGGGCCTCCCAGGAGGCCCAAAAGGGGGAAGACGAGGCAAGGGCAGCAGCATGGGTGCCCCTTCCTCCTCCGACCAGCGGCACGGTGGCGGACACGCACCGAGCCCCTCCCGGCGCCCAAGGCGCGGCTCCCGTGCCTCTCCCGGAGCTGCCGCTCGACTGGCCCGCTGGAGGCCTCTCGCCGCAGGGGCCGCCCGACGAGCCCACCGCCCCGAAGCACCCCAGCGAGCCGCCACCCTCTGCCCTGGGCGCCGGCCTCCTGCGGCGCCCGGGGGCAACGATAGCCACCATCCACTTCTTTCTCCTCCTCCACCTCCACCTCCACCTCCACCTCCACCTCCTCCTCCTCCTCCTCCTCCTCCTCCTCCTCCTCCTCCTCCTCCTCCTCCTCCTCCTCCTCTCTCTTCTTCCTTGTCGTACGCTTCGCTCCTCTCTTCTTCCTTTTCTCTCCTCTCTCCTCCTCCTCCTCCTCCTCCTCCTCCTCCTCCTCCTCCTCCTCCTCCTCCCCTCTCTTCTTGCTTCTCCTCGACACGGACAAAGCGGGTCCTGAGGGGAACGGGTCCTGAGGGTGTTCGAACTGTTCGGCGTTTCGGGGCCCCACGCGGGCCCAGGGGCCGCCAGATCTTGTCTGGGGGCATGGCCCCAGGGTCCAGAAGCCGTTTCCCTCAGGACCCGTTTCCCCCATGTTGAAGAGGCCCTCCTCCTCCTCCTCCTCCTCCTCCTCCTCGTCTTCCTCCTCTTCCTCCTCCTTTTTCTCCTCGCCATGGGGGAAGCGGATCCTGCGGGGAACCTCAAGACCCGCGTCCTCCATGTTGGGAAGGCCACCCTCCTCCTCCTCCTCATCAGCATCATCCTTATCCTTATCCTTCTCCTCCTCCTCCGCCTCCTCATCCTCTTCTGCGGGCACGATATCTATTCATGACCACTGTGTGTTTGGATGTACTGGATGGGGCGCCAAGGGGCCGGATAGCACTGGATATGGATAACTGTTCATCCTCCAGGGGCCTGAGCTTTACCGATATCCACTGCGGTTCGGTATTCTGGGAAAGGGAGCCCGGAAATCCAAGATGCAATACATTCGGGGGGATGCATCGACCTTGAGTTGTGGATACATCGACGATGCATCGGCGATGCCCCGATCCCCAGGTCTTGAAAAAAATCGCAACGGGAGGGTTTGGGCACTCGGTGGCCTCTCGGGGCCCTCGCTTGACCTCGGGACCGTCAAGACCTTTGGGGCTCCACGTCATGAAAAAATCACGATGTCGAGGGTGTAGCGATGATTTATGAGGGCACGCTGCCCAATGACAAATATGGACGATCTATCGACGACGTGTTGACCATCCATGAGGCTTTCCAGAAAGGGCCTCGCCTTCGAGGATCGAAGGAGTTGACATCTCTTACTCGGCGGAAGGCGGCAGAAGCCCGCGGCCGTCTGCGCCGGCGGAAGCCGGCAGAAGTATAGAAGACGGCATTTGATGGGCCCCAGTGTGCCGGAACCGGCCACATGGGGCGGTCTGCATCGACGATGCATCGACGAAACATGGGCGATGTACCGGCCATTCGACGTCGATGATAAACCACGTGCAGAGGGGGGGAGAGGGGGGGAGGGCTTCCTGGAAGCACCCCTGCGTTTTAGGAGGCGCGGGCCTCACCAATAGATGTACGGGCCGGCGCTTTCTACGAAGCAGCCCCCTTCTAAGAAGCCTTCCTCCCCCCCTGACCCTTCTGCGCGCCGTCAACGTCGTCAAGTCGGGCGTGTCCCTCTACAAGAGGAATATTCAAAAATAGTCAGGACATATTATGGGGACGATGTTTCGATCATTTTTGCATATTTTCGAATCGGTTTTTACGTTTTCTCACATGTCGTCCAAACTCCGCTTGTAGGAGGACGCGCCCGACATAACCCTATCGCTACCCCTCAGGCTCGGCGTGGGCTGGCCCGGCCCGCCTCCTGGCCTCGAGGACCTCGGGGGCTAATCGTCGCGCTCCTGCGCCGGCTGGCCGGGCCCCCCGCCGGTTTCCCGGACCCCCCCCGCTCGGGTCCTGAACAGCGTCGGAGGAAACAAAAACATAAGCATAAACTTATTGGCACTCCGGCGCCGCCCCTGGCGCGCTCCGGCGGAGCGCCAAAAGTTCATGTTTGTGTAGTCTTCTCTTCTTCAAGAGTGGAGGCCCATGCCAAGAAAAACCCTGTGTTACCTCCAGGGTGCCCTGGGTTTCTGGGGTTTCGAGGGTTCTCTGCTGCGGAGAGCGTGGCGCTCCCAGACACCCAGAGATCAAGGGACGTCCTGGGGTCTCAGGGTCGGGTTCCTTGCGGCGGCGGCCGGGGGGGGGAAGTCAGAGCGGGCGGGCCTCCTTCCGGTAGCAAATCGTGGGAGCCTCGCGTGCCCTCTTAGCTCCGCTCTCGGAATGCCTTACGTAGCGTCGGGGAGCGTCTGGTACGGTTCAATAATCGATTAGATAGCCCCGCTTTGACGTCGATTAGCATCGAGTAGCGTCGATCGACGTTGATCCGCATCTAGATTTAGCGTCGTTGAGCATCGAGCAGCGTCGAAATGCAAGATGGTATGTGAGGCTCCCGCGAGTTGCCGCATAACCTTTTCGGGAGGCTCGGAAGGCCTCTGGCCTTCTGAGAAGTGTTTTCGGGTCCTCCTCCGTCCGATCGACCGACATGTCTTCTCAGAAAGCTGGAGGGCTCCTCTGAGACGCCCCGCCGCCTTCTGAGAAGTGCGGCCCCCTCTCACTTCCCCTCGGGGCGGCGCCGCCAACACGGATTCACGACGGGATCTTTTGCGCCAGTGTCAGCTTTCCAGGGGTCCCTGCCGGCCATTGGGACCGTGAACCAGAATTGACCTGAGATTGAAAAGCTGGTCCCAGGGAATGGGTCGAGACTTCGGGAGCCTCGAGACGGGGGTCAAATCAAACGGGGGTCAGCCAGGGCACCAGATCCTGCAGGATCCTGCGAAGACCCCCTCTGGCTGACCCGGGTTAGCGAGCCGCTCATGGCCGCGAGGCGGCCGCGCATATTGGCTGACCCAGGTTTGCGAAGACCTGCGTTGCATTTTTGTTGTTCCTGCATTGCAGTTTTTGGTTTCCTGCTGACCCGGGTCCGGATTGACCCGGGTCAGACAATCCCCGAGAGACCCTTGGGCGCGGGCAAGAATTATATCCATAGCCATTGCGTCTTGGATGTTTTGGGAGGGGGCGCCAAAAGGCCGAGGCGCAGTGGATGTGGATAAACATCTAGCCTCTAGGGGCCAGAACGTTATCCATATCGACTGCGTCTCGGGTGTCTGGGGAAGGGAGCCCGAGACTCCAAGATGCAGAGGATCTGGATACAAGTTTTGCCCACCATCGGGGTCGACGCAATGAAAAGATCACGACGTCGTGGGTCTGGGAACGGGGCTCAGCTTGGGTTCAAGAGAAGGTAAGCTCAATTTCTTGGATGTTCCGGGTTCGGGGCCGCACTTGTCCCACTCAACAGTTATTCTTGGACTCTTCCTTAGCAGTTTCTTTGGAAATATGTTGCCCTGGGCCGCATTCGAGGTGTTCGATCATGGACCCCTTGTTGAACCCGGCAATCCAGCTTTGACGACGAAGACCGCTGGACACCAACGAAGACCGCCGAAGTCGACGAAGACCCCGAAAGCAGTCCGAAGACCACCGAAGGCGGCCCAGGAGCGCTTGGTAACCAGGGGTCGATGGTCGAACACGCAACGTATTTGTCTCAGAAGTTATGTATTTTCCTTACCCTTCGTTGAACCTGATCCCCAGAAGTCTGACCCTAGTTGGCATAATTGGCAGGCAAACGACGCACTCAGGGCGGAGGTTGTGCTCGGTTTTTTAGTTTGCATCTTCGGGGGGTGTTGTAAATCCTACAAGTTGCCGTCGCTTTCTTGTACCCGACGCGGGTTCGACGCCGATTCGGCGCGCATTCGACGTGGATGCGATGATGACGATGGTGATGCTGATAGGGGCTGGCGATGATGCGAAGATGTGGAGGAGCGCTCAGAGGTGGTGCATAGGCGTAGGCATAGGAGCGTTCAGAGATGGTGCGTAGGCAAAGGCGTAGGCAAAGGAGTTATGGGGGGAGGCATAGGCATAACCATAGGCACAGCCAGAGGAACCAGGGGGGCATAGGAATTAGGGGGGAGCGGACCAGTTCGCAGGGTTTGAGGTAGAACTCCTATAGGGCAAGCCCAGTTGGATTGTGCATGTATATACACATATATATATTCACATATATATACATATATATGTGTGTTTTTACACCTACATATATATATACATATATATATATATAACACAGCTCACGAGGAGGAGGAGGAGGAGGAGGAGGAGGAGGAGGAGGAGGAGGGGAAGAGCAGGATAGGGAGGAGGAGCCCACCCGTCGTGCCGCCCCTCCTTTGGTGTCTCGGTGTTCGGGGGCCGCGGCCGGCTCGGGTGTTCGCGGCATGGCTTCGAGTCACCCGTCTCTTGGCGCCGGCCTTCGGCCGGGCATGTCCACCTACAGGTCTGGACGCCCGAAATGGGTGCTGAAAGAATGGGTACAATGCCCAACAGCAGTTCCTGTTCATTTTGAACAGGGTTCGCTATCCACGCCGCCGCCACCTGTGTCCATTCGAGACAGGAGGCCGCCTGCCCAGCAGCGGCCGCTCTTGGTTTGGGACAACATTTGCTGTTGGGCATTGTACCCATTCTTTCGGTACCCATTTCGGGCGTCCAAAACAGGCGAATCTCCGACGGAAAATACAACATACCCAAAACATAGTCAATAACAGTCCCCAACATAATCGAAACATAATACCCGTGTTACTTTTGGACTATTTTAGAATACTCCTCCCGTAAAGGGACACGCCGGACTCAACGTTGGCCTGGATCTGGACGGCCCTGGGAGGATGCGGACGTGCACTTCCCGGGCTTTCAGCCTAGCCATCTGTCCGCCCTGGTGCCGATGCCCGCGATGGCCCTGGCCACCGGCACGGGGCCTCGGTGCTCGACGCGGGAGGAAAGGGTGTCCAAACGCAGCGAAGAGGGTCTCGACTGTGCCGACACTGGCGCGCAGGCTGCCCGCGCGAGGTCGCGCGCAAGCGCCCCTGCAGTGCAGCGGGGCGCGCTGACGGACCGCGTGAGCCACCGCGCACGGTCGCGATGTCGTAGTGCGTGTGGCCTTTTTTTCTTCTCGTCGCCCACGTGGCCTGGGCCCCGTGGGACGGCTCTCCCCGGGACCCGCTGGGTTGCCCCAGGCCCTTGGGCAGGGCCCCAGGGGGCCAAAGACACGCGAAACCAAGTCCCAGGAGGAGGAGGAGGAGGAGGAGGAGGAGGAACGAGGAGGAGGAGGAACGAGGAGGAGGAGGAACGAGGAGGAGGAGGAGGAGGAGGAGGATCGAAACGGTGAGCGTTCTTTTATTCATTATTTTTCCGATCGGCGCCGGCCCTCGCCGCCCCTCCCTTTCCCCCGCCCCATGGAGTAGATCTTGGCTGTTTCTGTTGCGCCTGCATCGAGCAGGTGGAGTCTTCCCCACAGGACGCCCTGCTGCAAACAGTCGAGCTAAGCAGAGGTCCTGAGCCAGACCCCCGCCCTCCCCCCCCTTCCGCCCAATGTCGACACGCTGGATTAAAAAAACGTTCACATGTCAGTTCTCTTCTCGGCGACTGCAAAGGGTATGGTTACGCCGCGATATGGCTTGCGGCCTATGTCGTTGAGGCTTGGGGGGCACAGCGGTGCCCTCGGCGAGCCCCCAGACAGGGCGCGGCGGAGCACTCTGCCGAGGGCGGCCTCGCCCGCCCGCCGGAGTGCGGGCTGCAAACCACACACCCTTCCATCCTCATCCTCGTCCTCCTCTTCCTCCCCCTCCTCCTCCTCCGCCTCCTCCTCCCCCTCCTCCTCCTCCTCCTCCTCCTCCTCCTCCTCCCCCTCCTCCTCCTCCCCCTCCTCCCTCCTCCTCCTCCTCCTCCTCCTCCTCCTCCCTCCTCCTCCTCCTCCTCCCTCCTCCTCCTCCTCCTCCCAGAGTCTCATCCTCCCCCCCCTCCTCCCCCTTCGGAGCCCCCGCTCGTGAGCCGAGGTGCGCGCCGAAGGAAGGGGCGGGCCTCGGGGCCGCCGAGCACGAGGGCGGGCCTCCGTGGCAGCCGCGGCCGGCGGGCCCCGCGGCGAGGCCCGCGCGGCGCGCGCTGCGGCGGCGCCCGTCGGCCGCGGCCCGGAGCGGCCCGGCGCGGCCCAGCCCGGCGCTCGCTTGAGGCATGAGCCCGACCTAAGGTCACACGCCCGACCTAAGGTCAGGGGCACGCGCCCGACCTAAGGTCAGGGCTGGACGCCCCCGGAGAGAGCAGCCGGCGAGCCTCCGAACGCCTCCCGCGGGCCTCCCGCGGGGCCTTCTGATGGGGCCCTCCCCGAGGGCGTCTTGACCGCCCGGGGCGGGGGGCCTCCCGCCGGGGGCCCTCCGCGGGGGCCTTCGAGCCTGTTTCTTTTTGGACTCAGGCAAGTTTACTTGCATGGCGTTCGCCCTCCCCCCCCCCCCCTCGCTCCTCTTCGAGCGAATACCAGCGTGCAAGTGCCTTTCGCCTTGCGTGATTTCCGCGCCCCCCCGAGCGTGCAAGTCGTTTGCGGCTCGCTTCAGGCTCAGCCCCCCCCCCGTCCATGCAAGTAAACTTGCCAGAGTCTAAAAAAAATAGGCTCCATTCTGCGCGAGGCGCGCCGGGGGAAGGATGGAACTCGGGCGTGTCCCTCTACAGGGGGAAGATTCAAAAAGAGGCAAAAACTGGTCTGGGGGCGATGCATTTGGGGATTCTGTATATATATGTATATATATATATATAGATAGATACACATATATACATATATACATATATATATATATATTGTATGTTTGAACTTCCGTCGAACATCCGCCTGAAGGAGGGCAGACCCGACCTAAGAGAAGCGACTCCACCACCACCAGGGGTGTCACCTCCAGCGAGGTCCACGATGCCTCCCCGAGCTGGGGACAGGGGATGTCTCGAGCGAGAGGGGGGGGGGGGGGGGCACATCACGAGGGGATGTGGGCCCTCCTCTCTTTAGTCGGGCCTGTCCCTCTACAGGACGAATATCCAAACATCGATCAAAAAATAGCCCGAGGACTCTCAAACTATGTTTGAATATTGTTAGACTCTTTCTAAGTGTTCGTCCAAAATCCGCCTGTAGGAGGACATGCCCGACCCACGGCTACTCCTGGTGGTGCCCCCTGGCGGTGGTGGCGTCGCGGTTCCATGCTCCCAGGGGCGGTCTTCAATGCTGCCCCAACGTCACCACGAAGAACAAGCGTGCCCTGTGAGGTTAAGAGGCCCGTCCTTCGGAGGGGCTCGATGTATACGCCACGCCGTCCGTTCGGCCAGGGAGCCAAGGAGGTCGGCGAAGGGAATCGGTACGCTCCAGAACCCGACGTAGTTTGGAAGCTGGGGCGCGTGTAGTACGAACGAACAACCCGCACCCATGCCCATGTGGGGGGAGCGATGGGGCTAGTTTCTGGGTGCGTGTTGTCAGGGCCCCCCGCCCCATCGGGAGCCCCCCCCAAGGTTCTGAGAATCCGCATCCATGCTCATCGCCAGTCCATCTCCTTCCTCGCCCCCTATTCGTACAGAATGGCTGTGTGCTGATCGCTTGTCATATACACCGAACCCCTTGGCAGACCAGACGACTTGGTGTATACTTCGAGCCTTTCCCGCGTCACGATGAAGAACGAAGGGGTCCTGTGAGGGAAGGGGGCGGCCCCTGGGAGCTCTCGTCTGCTGTCTTCGGCCTCTGCGGGGCCCACCCCTGGGCCCCAGAGCCCTCCTGAGAGCGACTCGGGATGAAGGGCCGATCCTGGGGGAAGTCTTGAGATGCAGGATCCTTCCCTCAGGACCCCCTCTCTGCATGCACACCCACAGCACGATTCCCGTCCTCCCTCCCTTTGCTTTGAATTCTCCTCCTCCTGCCTCCTCACAACCCCCATATCATCCCTAGTCCTCCCCATTATCCTCCTGCCTCTCGTTGCCTGTACCCTGTGGACGCTTCGGCTGAATGAGCGAAATCTCGGCCTTCCTTGCCAGCGTTGCGCAGAGCGCATTGGTAATTAGAACGCGCCTACGTTTTAGCAATAATTGTTTGAGCCACCGTGAGATAAATGTTTAATCGCGAGGCGTCCGACGCCTGAAAATTACATGTGTCGCCACTGAAGGAATTCCAGGGCCATCGGCAGGATTCAGGTGAGCAAGAAGCCATGCTGATGATACGTTCCAAGATTTCCTATGGCTCCGTGCGTCCGAGTGCTCCTCACAGTTCCAAAGGCGAAGGCCGCTAGATGCCCTGGAGTTCCTGAATTCTGACATCATGATGGGCGTGTTTTCCACCACCACCACCACCATAAGTTGGAGGGGGGAGGTCCTCCTCCTCCTCCTCCATCTCCTCTGCTTCCTCCTCCTCCTCCATCTCGTCGTCCTCCTCCTCCTCCTCCTCCTCCTCCTCCTCCTCCTCCTCCTCCTCCTCCTCCTCCTCCTCCTCCTCCTTCCCCTCTCCAACTTATGGTGGTGCTGGTGGGAAGCAGGCTCATCACGCCATCCTCGTCCTGAGGATGTTCTCTCCTGCGCCCTCTGCCCTGGCCGTCCTCCTCCTCCAGCTCTGCGCACCTGGCCGCCTCTCGCATGTTTGTGTGGCCCTTTGAGCGGCCCGTGCGGCAGTTTAGCCGCGGAGGGGCGCCAGATTTTGAAACTGTAGAGCACCAGCGAGGGAGGGGATTGGGAGGGGGGATCGAGGGTGTCCAAGACACAGACATGATCGCGTCGTGAAACAAATCAGGGCGGCAAGTTCTTCACTGTTTTCGACACTTGGGAGGGGCCCTTGCTGGGCCCCAGGACCGTCAAGAACGATTCAGGATGAAAAACCGGTCCCGTTGATAGGGTCGGGACTTCCAGGGACGCCGTCCCGAAAAAATTAGGACGTCGCCTGTTTGGGAAGAGGGGGGATACGACGGGGGGGGGGGGGTGCATATGCATCATTGCCAGAGGGCCTGGAACGGCCTCGGATGGTCTGGCGCTGTCTTCTCCTTTCCATTTGTCCTTCTGGCCCCCCCCATCGCCCTGGCGCATGCCTCGGGGTACGTTCTTCGAGCTCCTTCCCCCTTCCCTGACCTTCCAGGAGGGCTAAAAAATAGCACTAGGACCTCGACACCTGAATTCCTGTCCACGGTTCAGGCCGTCCAGATAGGCCTATAGGTCTGGAGGGCCTTTTTTAAGCACTCTGGTATTCCAAATACCTTCTTATTCGACCCGCCTAAAAAAAACGACCCACCTAAAAAAACCACCCCCCCTCCAAATGCGACCTACTATGCCAGACCCCCTCTTTGACGGGGCGCCTTAAGACACCGGACCCCCTAAGCTCCGATCCAAAGAAAGCGCCCTAATAAACCGGACCCCCCCAGGTTGCAAAACAGGCGCCTTCAAAAACCGGACCCGGGGGACGACGAGTAAGGGATTTGGAGTAAGCGCTCTGTGAGGTCAGGGTTAACTCGGGCCTGTCCCCCCACAGGGGGATTTTCGACGAAGAATTAAAAATACACCCAAAATAGTCCAAAAATAATCTAAAAATAGTCAGGGGACTATTTGTTGAGTATTTGTGTTGCCTTTTGGGGGGCAATTTGTAGTTTTTGTTTCTAATTTTTCGTCGAAAATCTTCCTGCAGGGACACACGCCCGACCTGAGGTCAGGGTTGGACGCCCCCAGAGAGAGCAGCCGGCGAGCCTCCGAACGCCTCCCGCGGGCCTCCCGCGGGGCCTTCTGAGGGGCCCTCCCCGAGGCCGGAGCCTGTTTTTTTAGACTCTGGCAAGTTTACTTGCATGGACGGGGGGGGGGGCTGAGCCTGAAGCGAGCCGCAAACGACTGGCACGCTCGGGGGGGCGCGGAAATCACGCAAGGCGAAA